TGCAAAAACAAAGAGGTGGGGAGAGGGAGGTGGAGAGAGAGAGAGAGAGAGAGAGAGAGAGAGAGAGAGAGAGAGAGAGAGAGAGAGAGAAATTTTTGCCGAGTCGCGCGCTTCACCGACAACAGCGTTTTCGCAAACGGTCGTTATTTGAAAAAGTCATTGCAAACTTTAAAAAATTAAAACGTCGAATCGGGTGGCACGACGGGAGGTTTCTGCCGTTCTTTAAATAGTCCAAAACTCTAAATTAAGTTTTCGACGTGTCCGATGAAATTAAAGTTAGATTTGTGTGCGAGGTAAGATCATTTTGTCGATTCTCACGTTTTCGACGTTCAAGCGTTACAATGAAGTAGACGAAGTAAAATTTACCGCACAGCGCGTTTGAGTTGACAGCGTCTCTTTCTCTCTCTCTCTCTCTCTCTCTCTCTGTTCCTACCAAAACTGAATCTTTACGTACAATTAATATAAACGGGATACAGAAGGCGTTAGGATTGCGCGATAAATAATTAGGTGATAATGTCGATAATCTATCACGTAGCTTTAGCAATTGTGAGTGTCTGTCGGTACTATAGTAATTATGCGCGATATATGAGGCAACTCGAGTTTCCTCATTAACGTTAATCCGTAAGTTTACGAAAATGATCGATTATCCGTTTGATCGATTATCGCTAGAATTGAGATCGCTATGCAAATCGAATTAAAAAATTTGCCCATTTTGCTGTCGCTTCCTCGACTAATAAACTACTTTCACCTGGCTCCTCGTGGCTTCTCAAACTAATCCGCGAACGCTTTCGGTTTTCCCGAGGCTCCCGATATATTTCACCTTCCCCCAGAATCCAGAGAGTGGAACTCCTAGGAAGCGGCCCGCACGAACGAATCGCGTTGAGTTTCTCGTAATTTGTCGTTGATGCACTTCGTTGTAACGTCGATGGTCGTTTGCTTGTCAATCGCGTCGTCTGCGTTCATTAATTATCCGCGGAGGCGGATTTGACGATGACACTTAAGAGAAAGGACGTCGACCCTGCGATAAGGTGAAACGTGATCGAAATATTTGCCTCGCCGCTATAGCCGTCGGTGAGTCGTTCCAATGAAAAATTCGTGCAGCGACGTGCACATACTTCCACATATTCGGATTAATTTGACCCGGCTCTCCGCGCGATCGTCGGGAAGTAGTTACGCGCTCATGGCTGATCGCGATACTTTCTCTGGGGAACGAGTCTTCGCGTTCAATCCGATTCACCCTCCAATTCCATTCACTCGTTATCAATGTGGCGGTACACGACGGCGTGGCACGGAAATACCTGCATATTTATATGTGAAATGTCTTTCAATGATGAAAAATACGATAGATCAAATTCGATAAATCCCCAATCGCTCTGCGTGCCGCAATCGTCAACAAATGTCCGCCGAGCGAGCGGGAAAGAAAGGCGATGCGTCGGCGCATCGAATTTTGAGTTCGGTTGTTCAGGCCAATCACAAGCGGTCCTGCTTGAGTCAGTCGGTATCGTAATTAGCGAGGAAAACTCTAGCGAGGTATCCGGAAGGAAATTCATTTAATCCTCCCGCTTTCATGCGCGCGTACACACGCGCTTCAAAAGGTATTATATCACCGACGAGCTCGCTATATATCTTCGTATCTACATCGCGATTGTAATATTCATTAGCGGCGATCGCTCCAAGAGGAAGCCTTTGTCGCAATTGAGCAATTACGCGTGATCGACGGTTTGATTTATTTCAATTAATATCGAACGCGTCTCAAGACCGAGCGAGGCTGAACTTGCGCGCCAATAAAGCTCGACGCTGCGTTCCCGTTTTTATGGCTTCAGTCTGGACAGCTACATCTTTCGAGAGGATACCGAATCGTTGAGGGTAAACAAATGTGTACAAGTAGCTCTGAGTCCAAGCCACTCGGCGAATCTCGCATCGCTGCGATCTACGAATATAATCCAAGGGTCGCGCGTTTAGTTAATGTAAGGACCGCATGTATTATTTCCAATCGTATCGCGTGTGTAACTAGAAGATGGGATTAAATCTGAAAGATGTATCGGGAGATTAATGCGGGGGATGAAAATTTTATTTCAGACTCGCCAAAGGATTTCTCTCTCTCCCTCCGTCTCTTCCTCTCGTCGCGGAAGCAAGGGCGCTGAATCCGTGGGACATTCTTCGTAAGAGCGAAGGGATCGAGGGGCAGGGGCGCCTGATAATCTGCAGGAAATGTCAAAAGTCTGCTCGGTACGTACTCGTTAGACTCATTTTCCACGAGACTCGTGCTCGCGCGCAAAGCGCAAGATGCAAGTGGAACGCGATATCTCGCCGAGCGTCCTTACGTCCCATTCGAAAATAATACGGCGCCTCTCGTTAAATTACCCGCCCGCTCGTTTCGCGTCGTCCGCGCGTAATGCGTCACCCCCGATCCCCCGCCGCCGCCTCCTCCTCCTCCTCCTCCCCCTCCTCCTCCTCCTCCTCCCTCACCATCGCTTTCCCTCCCCCCCCCGGCCACGCCAACTCGCGACGTAATGTACATAAATACATTTAATCTCGCTCCTGCTGCCCTCCTGATATTTTTCGAGAGATCGATCGAGCCGCGCGGTCCCACATTTTCCCTGCTAATTCCGAGATCTCGTTTGTGAATTTCGGTCGACGTTGGCGCGTTCCAAAATTGGTATTGGCGATCCCTGGCAGCGCCGAGTTTCTGGCTCGAGCGCCGGGGGTATGGCAGAAGCGCGCGCGGCTATAATAAAGGCACACTCCCTTGGTCCCGCACCTACCCGCGTCGCTCCATGCCTCGCCTCGCCTCGCCTCGCCTCGCCTTGCCTCGCCTCGCCGCGTTCACCCCGCCGCGTCTCGCCGCACCTCACCTAACCTCTCGTCGTTGCCGCGCGCACACTCACTCGCTCGCTCACTCGCTCGTTCGCCCGTTCGCTCGCTCGCTCGCTCGCTCGGTCCCGCTTCGTCGGGTGGCGGTGGCGGTACCCTCCTCCAGTCGCCGCTCGCTCGGAATCGGAAAGGGGAGACCGCGCGGTGGTGCGCGCAGGCGCGAGGGTCGAACGGAAAAAAATCGGCCGGGCTGACGACGGGGGATGGTCGTCGTATCGATCGCGCTAACATCGGGGACCGAGAGCGTTGGAGTCTACGGGTATAAGCGTGATGCAGCCACGGTGACGGGCTATACCCGGCTTCGACCGGGAGTGAATGACGCGCCGTCGCCGCCGCCGCCGCTGCCGCCGCCGCCGCCGCCGCCGCTGCTGCCGCCGCCGCTGCCGCTGCCACCACCGCCGTCGAATCCTGCAGGACTCGGTAACATGCTTTTCAGCGTTGCTACGAGGACCTGAGATTGCGCGACTGTCTCCCTGCGCAGGAAATCGCAGGTTTGATAACCGGATTCTATGAACCGTTGCTATCGCCGATACAATTCAGGGATGTACGGCAGCGGGGGGGGTGCCGGACATAATAGCCGTCGCTGAATTGTTGAAGCTATTGGAATTTGCCGTTCGCGCATACACCTTGTGCGAGAGGGAATCATTAGCGGACTACGAGTGCTCCAAGTGCGGCGCTCTCGTCCGGCTGACTTTACTCCCCGTCGCATCCTGCGCGAGAGGCACAAGGTAGCACGCGTTGCCGGTCCCGGAAAAAGCCTCATCCGTTTATACGTTCTACAAAGCGCGCAACAAAAGTCACGGCCGACGTCGCGCGAGCGCGCCCGACGTTGCCCGAAGTTGTGGCGCGACGGAGAAGGGATCGACTATGTAACGAGAGCGAGGGAAAGAGAGAGGGTGAAGTAGAGTGAGCGACGGGACGACGGAGGAGAGAGCCGAGCGAACGAAGAGGGGTAGAATAGCGGTGTGGCGAAGCGAAGGGCGCGGCGAGAGGGGGAATTGCGTTCGACGCGCGATGGATACAACGGAGCAAAAATCTCGGATATTTTCGGCCGCGTTCGGCCACGGTCGGATGTAAAATTTATACAAAAATACAAGCGCGCGACGAATATTAGCCGGCGTTATGTATATTAACTGAGAGAGCCGTCCGCGATAAATCCTCGACTTTGTTCGACGCTGACTGGCATTGCGACCGTGCGACCGTAGCGCCATAATAATAAAAGGCTGTAATATTTATCTCGTAGCAATGACTGAATAATAATTATTTACTCTGACAACGTAAGGTAGAATATCGGAAGGACATTCGCAGTGTTAGATCAGAAACGAATGACGAGGAACGAGTATAGATCAGTAAGTTCGCTTGATCTATAAGCTATGAGGCAGGGCCGGCTTTAAAGTTGAGGTGACCCGGGATTGATCGCAATACGCGCAACTCGCGAGCTAACCTAACGAGACATGAATTTTGCTGCCATTAATTTATAAATAACGCCGCATCCGCAACAGATACAAAACTCGGGGCCGTTAGATTTTCAAACTGGAAAATCTCGGTAACGTGAGGATGATTTCTTGTTTGGTCTGGTCGTACCGACCTGAATTTCGTCACTTAACCCCTTATTGAAGCGAGGCGGTGTTATAATTTTGATTCACGTATTATCAAAGTCTCTCTTGAACAAGCTCTTTCTCTTTATGTGCATGTATATGTGTGTATGTGTATGTGTGATTCCTGCATTTTATGAAATTTACTTTATATTTGAGTATATTTAAAATTATATTTAATATAGATTTTATAAATTTAAAGTCTAACGAATTTAATATCCGGACACTGATATCGTTGTTAAATATCGACTTAGAATTTAATCCCAAAGGAACGAACAGATGCCTCGTTATTATATTCCCTATAAATTGCATGCTACTATTTATTTATTGTGATGCGCGCGATAGATTAAAAAAATGGAACACCGCAATTATAAAAGTAATTACTACTACGAGCTAACGAACGTCGTTTTATAGGAAAATAATCTAACCAAATGTTGAAGTATAAAATACATTAGATCTATTTTATTTTTTCTACGTATCGTTATAAAAGTACGCTTTACAATAATTGGTAAATAATGAACAAAGGAAGAATTATTAGGAGAAGCAATGTTTTTTTCTGTTTCTATTTTGAGTCACATTCAGATACATATTAAAGAAATTTTAATTCAGGAATTATGAACTACCAAACATAAGTATATATACATTAAATCATCTATCTTAACTATAAGTGAATTACAGAGAAAAGATACATATGTGTGTGTTTGTGTGTGTTTATAAAGTCAAATAGGCGAATAGAGGTGAATCAGTATAAACAAAATATTAATATGGCCTGAGTAAATTCATTTCTTTTTATCATAATGTTTGTTTATTAATGCAGTTTTGCAGTATCTTTAAGACAGGAATAAATGCACCAAGTTTCTTCCATAAATATCTCGTTTCTTGGGCTATCTTGAAGGTTTCCTTTGTATTTCTTTGTGTACCAATGCTGAAGATCATTATCTTCTCAGTAATAAATATTAGGTTGATCACATACACCAGCTCATGACTGCTATAATCTTGAAAATATACTTTCTTGTGCATATTTTAAGTTGCTGTATGCGCTAAATCATTTGCTTTATGTATTAAAGCTTTCGCTATCCTCTGCTTGCAAATTGAAAATATCTGTAAGGATAATAGTACTCATAAGAGCTTCTGTACTCTCCTACATAAAAAAATCAGAGAAGGAGCACTAAAAATATGTTCTAAATTTATAAATAACATTAGACCTTCCTCCAGTGTAGAAACATTCAATTTCTTCCTCCAGATTATCGAGAATTATATACTTAGCAAAAGTACAATTTATGACATTTTTAATGAATATAAAGTATGATGAAAGTGTGCAACCCTATATATATGATAAGTACATACATCTCGTTACTTTTTAAGAAGAGATTTGAGCTATCGTTAGTATTACGAGAAGTCTGCTGCTTATATTCAAATTATTTTTTCTCTATTATAAAAAGAAACATTTGAGGTATTACTAAACTCACAGGGGCTATATGGTAATATAATATATAGACTACAAATTTTACATATACGAGATATTACCTTTGCTGCACAATTCACATAATTCTCCTCTATATACAATAGAATTGGACATTATAACGAGGAACAAAAACACATATATATAGTAAGACAATAGTAATACACACCACTATCACAAAATAGTCTAATGATGTAACTAACATACAAGTAGTATATCCCTCAAATACTCCACAACACAAAGCAACATGAAAACCAACAGAATGAAACTTTATAAACAAAACACTGATACTTACATTGCACATCAAGATATTCTGCAAAGTCTTTTGACTGCAGCATCATCCGGCACATGGACCGACGCATCTATCTGTAATAAAACATACAAACTGTGTGTAATATATATATATATATATATCTACGCAACGAATGGTCTACCACAATGTTTACAGATTCGAAACGTACGTGTCACATACCGCAACGTGGTGGTCCTTTCGTTGGTCTGCGAGGCGCTCGTAAGTCCCTCGCATTGTCGCTCATTGTGTATCCCGCGCCGGTGTTATTTCAGATTGATAAAGCGACGCAATTTACTGGCGCGCGTACTCCGTCGAAGCTGCCGCATGGCGTCGCGGCGCGTTGCCATTTTCATTAACGCGTTACGCCGCCGCTGCCGCCGCCACAAGAGAGAGACGGACATTCGGCACGCCGCGAATGTGACAGCCGGACCGAACGCTTCGGTTAAGGTCGAGCGGATTCGGTCGCCGTCGGATTTAAATATCGGCCGGAAATAGGACCTCCGTTCATCTTGCGCAGCACCGAAGCGGGAAGTAGGAGCTGCCGAAGGAGGTCGGTCCTCTCGATGGCTCGTAAACGGAATCGGATAGTGGACTGTAGAATTAATACAAATTAATGCAACAAAGTAACGGAGGGAAAAAAAAGAGGAATTTTCACATACTCAACGCAATAATTTTGCAACAGCATACACTATTACGATACATTTTTCGCGCTTTGATACGGAAGAAATTTCACGTCATTTTCTTTCACACGCGCGTTTACTCGCGTAAATATGTATTTATTAAATTTGTAAAAGAAATTTCTTGCACAGTTTCTTGATGTTAATAAAAAACGAACTTTTTAATTAATCGTGTGAAGGAGTGAAGAAGATATCAATAAGACGGGATCTCAATCAGAGTTACATCGAACATATAATGGGCAAATATGAAAATTCAGCATCTATGGTATAAAAATTATGTTACGGAAAAAAGTACATTCTTTTGGATAATTTAACAACGTTTCCTCTTATTCGTTGAGCGAAGACCAATTTCGCGAGAAATAACTATTATCTCTCAGACAATAGCTCTGTTCGTAAAAAAATTCAGGAACCAACTACAAACAATAATGGCGTCTGACGGTGGTAGCGGTACTGACATAGACGATAAAATCAATTGGAAAAGAAGACGCGAAAGAAAATTGAAGAAAGAGTGTACAGGATGTGTCTCGTGCGTTTCTCTCGACCGCAAATTCTTTCGATGTCAAACATCACGCTGAAACTTGAATTAAAACTTCCTTAAAATAAAAAGCACGATGAATATCTTATCGTTTATGAAGAAGAAAAAGAATTAATGGTACCCAACAAACAATCAGAAAGAAATGAATTTTCGCACAGATTAAAAGGAATAACAATATCGATTTTTGCCAATTCACAAACACACAGCGATACAATTACACGAAATATAACATCGACGAAAATTTCTGGTCTGGCACAGTTCCTTGATATGTAATAAGAAAGAAATGGACAAGTATTCTTCGGCAAAATTATTTTGCGTTTCTTTAATTAATTGTAGATCTTGATGTAGGAAAGCTTTTAGCATCAGTTCCCACACGGAAATTCAATTTCCGTCAATTTTTGCCAATTCACAGTAACGATATAATTACACGTCGAAATATAACGTCGACAGAAATTCGTAGTCTGCACAGCTCCTTGTGTAATATGTGATCAGTAAAAGAAATGGACAAGTATTCTTCGGCAAAATTATTTTGTGTTTCTCTAATTGATTAACCGTGGATCTAAAGCTTAGCACGAGGATATCCTATATGGGAAATCCAACCTTGCGAATGACTATGACCCAGGATTTCGACTCGACAAAACCGTACGTTGCAACCGTACCGCGAGAAGAAGCGTCGCGAGTAGTTGAATAATAATCCGTCCTTTCGGACATGTAGCCGCGTCGCGTTTTCGACTTTGCTATTCGTGCGTTTTGCGTTTTGCGCGCGTACGGACCGATATAAGTGCGCATCCCGCGAACATCCGGACATTGAGATAGCCGATGGTACAGCGGTGGTCGCTAGAAACCGAGCGAGCGTGACTGTACAGGTTCCTCAGGTATGTACCAGGCCAGGTGGAAACGTACTTGCGAAGGTAAACGGGATCTCTTCACGCTCGACCTCGTCCCAACTTCGATTCGCGACTGACGATCGACCAATGATCGACGAGAGTCGGTCCGATCGCGAATTATCACGTATTCGTATATACGCAAGGTTGCACCGATTTATTTGTTGTATCGTTACGACACTATGGTTACATTGACAGGACGGGAGGGAATCTATCGCGGAGCGAGTAATTACGTGACGCGCGTATACTTTCGTGGTTAACGGTTAATTATTGACACAGACATCTTATTAAGACAACCGGCGAACTCTGTTCGCAAATTCCTTTCGAACAGAGTCGGGGTTGCCAATTGTCAATTGTTCCCCGATAGCAACGTCGCGATATATATATATATATATATCGGCGATTTTTCCGCGATCGGCGGTGAAGTGATTCTCGCGGGTTAAACTGCAAGACGCAGAGAGACTTGCCGGAGGGTCTTGTTCTTTCGCTTAATTTCGCGCGAGTGGACTTCACTTTCGGCGAAGACAACGGCGCGGCGCGGCTGTTATTCGAGAGAATCGTCAATGCTTCCGATACGTTCGAAGACGCCTCGGGTGTGCGAGACAACTTACAGATCTAACCTAGGTTATTAAACTGAAGGAAAACTAATTAATTCTAGCGCGTAGAGACTCTTTCGTCAGCCTACGATCATTCGTCGTAGGCCCTTCCTCACGAATACCCGCGATACGGATCTTCGAAGGTGAGTTAACGGCGGGCGTTATTAGCGCGACAGGGTGAAACCCAGGGGCAGAAATGTCTATTGATTTTTCGAAGAAAACTCGGCATCCCTTCTCTTGGATCCCGCCGCCGCTAACCTACATTCGAGTTATAGCGGCGGTATGAAGTCTGATAAAACGCGTCCGATAATGAGACTCGCGGCGTATCGCTCCGACGAGTGACGCGCCGCGTGTCGATTTCCCTAACCCGCGTCTGCGAATTTTTCCTGCCGTCTCTCCCTTGTTGAAGACAAGAGCGTGAACGGGAGGAGAGATCCGATCAGAGCGCGCCGCCGCGACGATCAGCGGTGTCGCTCGTCTGTGCCGCGAGTTTCCTCGTGCCGAGATCGTTCGGATCTCGGAAGCCGTTCCGTTCGGCGATCCTGCTGGCACCCTTCAAACGTTCCCGTTTTCGGGCTGAACACGCCGGGATACCGAGAGCAACGGAGAGGGCGACTCGGTCGCAACCCCCCTTTCGCACTCGCGCCGAGGGGGATCGATCCGCGTTCACTCTGCGCACCTACCCCTGCGGCAAAACCCAAATCCGAACCCCCGCTCCGAGAGCACGAGGAGCAGCGCCGGCTAAAATCGTTCGCGTTTTTAGTCGGACGAATTTTCGGCGCGGCACGGCGCCGCGCCGGTTAAGCGCGACGACACAACACTGTACCCATTCCAGCTCGTTCGTTTCTCCCTTTTAAGCGCGAATTGAAACTCATCGGGATCGATGTGCGATCTCAATGAGTTTCGACTTTTCATACCATTAGCGCGATTAACACGATGATCCTTGCCCCTCGCCTTGTTCTTCGCGCGTTGCACCGGTGCGTCGATCTCCGCGATCCCCGCGATCTCCTGAGTTCGCGCGCCATCCCAAATGTTGCGCAATATTGCGAATAAAAGGAGGACACGCGTAATTACCATTAGCTGACGAATAGCTTTATCTGACTATAATTTTCATTCGCTGCGGCACAAAGCTACTGCCGGCCGCACCGTTCCGCTGCCGTCTAACTCCCTCCGACGATATTGCGAGAACGCTATTAGCGAGGCGAAAATACGCCCCCTCGCAGCTACACCCATGGCAAAAAGTGACGATTGTAGACGGCATAAATACATAATACGACGAGATATTGGATTTCAACCGGTGATGACTCGAAACATTTTGATGTAGCTTAGGTCCGAAAGCGTTAGTCGCGATGGGTAAATTTGTCGTCACGACGAAATGTCCTCTCTCTCTCTCTCTCTCTCTCTCTCTCTCTCTCGTTGTCTCTCTTACCCCCCCCCCTCTTTCTCTCTCTCTCTCTCTCTTCTAATATCGACAAATAGAGCCAGATTAGATATCGTCCGATGAAATTGGGAGCGAGGGGAGGCGAGGGGAGACATTTTGGTTCGGTTGACTTCGGGCAGGCGGTGTGTGTGTGTGTGTGTGTGTGTGTGTGTGTGTGTGTGTGCATTATAAATTTCTGCGCGGATAAACCGCGCGAGTTCTCGCACACAGGCGCACTCGGGTCACTCGCGGTGAGTGCATCGGATGGCGCGAGCGACCAGCTCGAGTTCGAACATTCGAGGTGGAAAATTTACAATCGAGTTCGCGGGGAGTTGAAGATTCGCGAAAGGCTAGGGTTCCCCGTAAGGGCGCGCGATCGATACGGAAAAGTTCCTCGAAATCCCGAGCAGAGCTTCGTTCGCTTCTCGTGCCATTTCGCGTAATCGCGATCGTCGGATCGGCCGGAGGGCGGGTATTCGTTCCCGCGTAATTTCGCGTGCGGCCCTCGAGACGCGGGACGCGGAAGTCGTCCCGACCGATTTCGCGAATTCGTCAAAGAGTGCGCCATCAAAAATTAACGCGGGCTAGTTCCGATGCAACGGCGCACGTCCTAATTCGGGTAATCCCCCGAGCTTTAACCGTGAACAATATTTGCCCTTCTCGGGAGTTCTAGGGCCGACTTTCCCGATAGCACGAGAAACCTTTCGGGGCGCTACGGCAGCGCCGAAGGGAGCGGGATCTCGGAGGATGTCCATCACGATCACCTCCGACAGGGAGGGGGGATAAGATAGCGCACTCTCTCGTAATTTCTCCGGGAAAAAAAATCAATCGATTCCATTGTATTCTTTATTTATTTATAACAACTTACGCACTCCCTTCTTACCTCAACACGTCGGTGACTTCAGAAATGTTCCGATATATATGAGATTGACAAAGAAGAAAGGAGAGACGGAATGTATATTCTTCTGTGGGATATTCGCTGATATTTAAACGAATACAATAGAAAGGATTAAAGCGATATTATTAAAGAAGACGCTCGTCCCCTCAATAGACGTCATATCCTGCGAGATATTTCCGAGAACGCAAAAGGGATTAAATATAATGCTGAAACGGGAGCATAGCCCGCATGAAATTAGCGTCTCAATTGTCTCTTCCAGCCGTGTGTCTTTCGTGAACGAGTAATTGGGTTAAAGAATACCGAAACGCACGTCCAATTTCGCGTGTTCACGGGACGTTCGGTCACGGTGGGATCGCGCAAACGAGAGGACAAGAGAGAGAGAGAGAGAGAGAGAGAGAGATCCAACGGACGACGGCGGCAGGTGGGAGGGCGGCATAGAAAGTTGTCGGTGTTCGAATGATTTTCAACGGGGGTTGCGCGCTCGACTCGCGTGCATTTTCGAAATTCCGGCCGGGGAGAGAGCCATTTTACATACAGAATTAACGTTGCGCACGCGTGGCCGTGTGTGCAGTCGACGCGTATAACTATTCCAATCCAAACGAATCGAATAGCTCGGAAGTCCATTCATCGCGTCGTTCATCTCGATATGCGCGCCGCTCGTGCATCATTGATGTATAAAAATGCGCCGGTCACGCATTCTCCGCCCTTTAATTTCGGCACCTCTTTTCAAACGTGACGTATTAACAGCGTGAATTCGGAAATTGACTATTGACGCGCAACGGACATCCCGCATAATTATGTGACTCCGGCTGCGGCTTCATTATTTGCCGGCGTTTTGTACGCTGGCGAATAACGCGAAGAACAAACACACATGTGTCGAAGCGGATTCGATCGATTTGACAATCTTATAATTATTCCACTTTCGAGGCGGTTCAATTCAATACCGCGTGGTAAAACGTGGCTCGACATTGCGCATACGTACCTTGCCTCTGCGAGAAGACGCAGCGACGACTGTTTTTGTCACGTAGATTTGTGACACGACCGAATGTGTGCGAGATCCCTCTAGATAATTTTTTATACCAACCAGATAACTTTTGTAAGAGGTGACACAGCCCCTTCGACCCCCGTTCGCTCTTCAATTATAACGTCGCGCATCGTTTGGCTCCTCTACTTTGAGAGCGCCGAATACTTCGTAGTTGTTGAGTATCCAATCCTACAGAGAACGTATTTTCTGAATTATCACGTCGTCGTTGAAAGATAAAGAGAAAGAAAAGGAAAAAGAAACAACACATAAGGAGAAAGGGAGAGAAAAAACGAGCGATGAAAGCTCATTTATTGCAATTAAAAAGTTTCATCTCTTTCCGAAATCCCTCGAAGACCGACGACGTGTAACGAACGTCTCCTCGTGCGACGATTTAATATTAATCCATTTCGTCTTTCAATTTGTACCTGACGTTGCAAATGTGTCGCTTTACCGAGCACATGCTACATGATTTTTCGATACTGGCGAAAAATGGAATTCATTATCTATACGTTATCACTGTTCGCCTATATCACTATACGAATGTTGTGCACACAGAATGAATTATTAGTCGTACTTGATACAATACACAGCCGAAACTATATTATATTTACCGTCCATCATGCGCTTCAGTCGTTGTTATTAAAAAAATTAATAAAAAATATTTCGTAATTTTCACGTTTTAAGAGAGATGCAACATATCGCGCGAAATATATCAGATACTTGCTGTCGACTCCAAGAAGATATCTTTTCTTCGGCATTACCGAGCACACACACGAGCGGTATTAAAGATTACGTGTGTGCACGATTTTGGTGAGAACGCAACGTGAACGTTGCACGCCGATCGAGCGTTCGCGTCGCAGAAAATCCCACGGCTACCGCTGGGTTAACAAGAGACCCGTGCGGTATGCATCTCGAAGTGTACATCTTCGTACTTTGCGCCGTGGGCGTTACAGCGTGTCAATATATTTTTCTCGCTGCGTTCCGGTTTGTCCGCATTTCGCCGCGTGTAATCGGCGCATCGGGGCCCCGTGCCGGTATCGCAGACCGCCGGCATTACGGTTAGTCGGTACTCGCGTCTGGTCGGTACTACAGGACGTCGATAATAGGCCGTCGCCGCTTTTATCCATCGGAATTGCGCCCGTCGATAATTCGTAGGGACGAAAGGCGGGAAATGGAAGAAGGAAGGGCGAAGAAGAAGGTGACAGGAAGAGAGGCAGGACACGAGAGGATTGCCGGACTACAGGGGGATGGTGGAGGACGACGCGGGCGGTTGGGAGGACGAGGAAGGGTAGGGTGAGAGGATATAGGTAGGGAGGACGCGCTCGTGGGGGAGGAGGACGAGAGAGAACGAGGTGGTGTGTGGAAGGGTTCGGAGTGGTAGGAGAGGAGGGAGAGAGAGCGGCAGAGGAGGACGAGGAGGTGGGAGATAGAGCGAGTTCGTGTCGCGAGGGAGGGAGCGAGGTGGGGTGGGTTGGACGATGTCATTTTAGATATTCGATGGAACCTGCACTGTACGAGCACGTTGGTAATACGCGCACACAGACGGTGCAATAAAGAAGATGATGTCTGGGAAGAGTAGGAATTACACGCGGTTGACGCGTGGGAGATTGGTTCTCTCTCTGTGCGCGCGCACGCGCGACTCCTCTAATTCTAATTACAAAAATAGTATCTCGGCGGAGGGCAACACACCGCCGCGCTTTACCAGATATTTGCTATACCAGCAAAAATCACAGCCCCGCTCCTATTGGAATCTACCCCAGTCATCCTTGCTCTGAGTCATCATTAGCCACCAAAGTTTGTTTCCCTCTATCTGTGTTATGCCAGGAGCTCTCTACAATTCGGAAAGGGACCGGTAGTCCCTAGCTGAAGTCCCACCAACCAGGATTTACCGAAACTTGTTACGCGACCGCAAAAATCATAGCTTGTCCAGATCCGAGGCCCCACGTATCGACATCGGTCCTACGTAGGATCGATCGATCCCTGCCCATCCTTAAGCGAGCTTTTCTTTCTCCACCTACGCGTCTATCCACTGCCAGAGGGGTGCCAGGTTATACCGGTTCGTATCTTGCCAAGAGGCGGGAGATTTCGGATCAAAGTTAATTAAAATTACAGATGAGACTTGTATGTTTAACGACTCGAAGAAATTACGATAAATCCGCGCGGGTTCCAATGCGGACGCGAATTGCACTTTACTCCATATGGTCGCTGGAAATTTCCGCAAATCTTTCTCGTCGCGGCACACACGCGGTGTGTGTTCGCGAGCGTGTAGCCGCGCGATGTAACGTACAGAGATGCGATTGCAGTGGAAGAAAGCACTTAACTGATTTATCCTACGCAAACAGCGCTTTGCCTCATACACCGTGAACAGGCTGAATAGCACAACGATGGGCCGTCTAATTGACTCGATGTACTTTGTTGTTCGGCGAGCCAAGATTCATCAACCCCGGCCGGAGTCTACATGCTTCCCTTACCTTTCGTAGGACCTACGAGCGGCTACGTAGGCAAGGCAAATATCCCGAGTAGAGTCAACGTTATAGTCTCTAGTCTCTAGTCCTGAAGAAAAAAAAAAAGAAAAAAGAGAAGAAACGCCACAGGGTTCCTTCGAGAGACGCTCCGCTCTTGCGGTATTTGCTCTCGTAGCTGTTTACCGCGCGATGGCGATGCTGCTAATGTCATCGCGCGAAAACTACGCGTTCGGTGAGCCCGCGCGTGAGATCCGCGACAAACAGCGCGAGGGTCTCCGACCGTTTTACGGAACAGTGGCTTTCTTTCAGGAGACCGATCGTACGACCCGCACGCCTTGCGTTCTCGATGGCTACCATCGGCGGGTGGACTTTCGTCCATCGTGTGTTCGGCGCGCCGCCTGCGTCGGCTGGTCACGCGATATGAATTATAGTCCGGCGAGATGTATTAATGATCCTTAGTTATTCGCGCCGCGTGATCGAACCTAAAAGCCAGCGGGATGAAATTTACCGTAGGTCATGGTGGGACCGCGTACGCGTGCGCGCGTGCTTCTTATTAACGATCTTGCTTTAAAGGTCCGTGCAGTACGCCCCTTATACGTGTGACAAATTACGCTCACCATGTGAGCTCGGTGTAATAGCAATGATGATCGGTGGCTACGATTGAAGAGAAAGAGAGAGAGAGAGAGAGAGAGAGAAAGTGTGGTGGTAAGAGGCAGGCCGGGGAGGGGGAGAAATCGTTTATTCGTATCCTAGGGCGAGCCCTAACAATAAGCGTGTACAAAAGCATATGGCGACGTGTGTACAGAAGTTCATATTGATATACGAGGAAGCAACTTGTCGTACATCATTAGCGCGTTTATAATTAATTACTAGGCCATGAACTAAAGTTTAGCAGCGCTTAACGACCAGGGACTGGTTCAAGGCTGCCGTCGGCAAGGTTCCGCGGTGACGAGCCAAAATACGCGCGGCGATACCACGCACTATTTTGCGTGGCGGGCTTTATCTGAGATTTCGCCGTACGGGCTGCCGAGTGTAAACCAACGCAACAGTGCGAATGAGCGCGCGCGCGAGGTAAACATCTCCCAGATGTTACCGTACACCTCAGATACGTGTCACTTTCGCTTTGAACCCCCGCGCCGACATGTCGATACGTCGATACGTCGCCAGCGATTCGTTCGTCGCGTCGCGTCGCGCCGCGCCGCTGCGCGTCTCGATCCCGCCTTGACTGAGCGCGAGTTCGCGGGCACATCCGCGACTGTTTATACACGGGGGCGAAATCCTCGACCGCGACCGCGACCGACCGAAGGGGGAGAGACCGACCCGCGGCCGCGGACTCTTCTTTCTTTCCGTCTCTCTCTCTCCCTTTCTTCTCTCTCGCGGCTACGTGTCCGGTCCCGAAGCGTGTCAAACAATCGGCCGTTCGGAAACAATTTCGCCGTTTTGATATGTATCTCGATGTGGTGTGATAAAGCCGAGTCGGTTGTAGGCAGGTAGATAGGTAGGTAGGTAGGTAGGTAGGTGGTAGGTAGGTAGGTAGATAGGTAGGTAGGTAGGTAGGTAGATAGGTAGGTAGGTAGGTAGATAGGTAGGTAGGTAGGTAGGTAGGTAGGTAGGTAGATAGGTAGGTAAGTAGGTAGGTAGATAGATAGATAGAAAGGTAGGTAGGTAGGTAGGTAGATAGATAGATAGAAAGGTAGGTAGGTAGGTAGGTAGGTAGGTAGGTAGGTAGGTAGGTAGGTAGGTAGGTAGATAGGTAGGTAGGTGATAGGTAGGTAGATAGGTAGGTAGGTAGGTAGGTAGGTAGGTAGGTAGGTAGGTAGGTAGGTAGGTAGGTAGGTAGGTAGGTAGGTAGGTAGGTAGGTAGGTAGGTAGGTAGGTAGGTAGGTAGGTAGGTAGGTAGGTAGGTAGGTAGGAAGGAAGGAAGGAAGGAAGGAAGGAAGGAAGGAAGGAAGCAAGCAAGCCGGTGGCGGTCTTTCGAGTAAGAGAGAACCCGGGGATTCCGAAAGCGCCTCACTGCACCACACCACGCCTCACCTCACCTCACCTCACCCTCGCCCACACTCTCATCCTCACCCTCGCCCACACCCTCATCCTCATCCTCACCCTCACCTCGTCACGCCGGCCCGTAACGGCAGAGACGGCGATAAAAGCGGAGCAGCGGTGGGCGAATCGCGCGCGCTCGTAAATAGAGTCGCAGGTCCATTCATGAGTTTGGCCAGCAGCAGCGGCAGCGGCAGCGGCAGCGGCGGCGACGGCGGCGGCGGCGGCGGCAGCGGCGGCGGCGGTGGCAGCGGTGGCGGCGGCGGCAACGACAGCACCGGCAGAAGCGCGGCAGCGCACTCGTGCGTACACGCCGGAAAAGTCTTTTTCCCGGCGTGTGTTTTACGGGAGGTCAGGGTTACAGAGGCGGAAAGAGGGACGGGGTAGGGGGTGCAGGAGAGGGTGGAGGAGGCGGAGAAGGTGGGGCGAACGTTTTACGTGCGACTACTACGGTTCTTCGTATGATTCGCCCTCTCTCTCTCTCTCTCTCTCTCTCTTTCTCCTCCTCCCCCCTCTCTGTGTTTGTCTTTCCATGTGCACCACCGCACGTTGACCCTTTCGGATAGAAATTAATTCGGAGCGATGCGCAGACCATCGCGGACCGTTCCCGTGCGAATAACGCGGACTCAAAAGTTTATCTCGGCTGCGCTAATTGGATTGTCCATCGTTGCGATATCGCGTAGTCGTCCGAACGACGTTAGAGAGCAGCGTAGGGAGTCCTGGAACTTTTCGCGAGAGCTAATGGTTATCGTTAGACTCGCGCGTCTACGGGTCCGTCAGTCCAGAGGATCATTCCGAAATCTTTCCAAGCTTCGTCGAAGCTTCGGTTTCGCGTTACTTGGAAAAGTATTCAGACACGCCGAGGGTTGTGCGATTAACAGCGACCTGGTAGCGCGCCGCGCGTCCGGCTAGTACGAAAGATAGAATATCGGCGGGAAAAATACGCAGTATCGGAAGCCCGGCATCGATATCTCGAAGTATCGTAATCTCTAGTGGCATGTGTGCCATGCTTTCGCCGCGTTCCTCCGCGCTGGCGTTCTCGCGACGACCGAGATAGAGCTCCGGAGCTTCGGAGCGACTTTATCGCTGATAAAGATAGCCTTATCACCCTCGGCGCGTCGATAAGACGCGTCGCGTGGAACGTCTGCCGACGTATGTTCGCGCCTCCTTTCTTCCTTTCTGCTTTATTAACGGTCGACGTGCACTTTAAGCCCGATTAGAGCTGTCGTGTCGAAACCGAGCTATCGATGTCGACATGAATACGGAAGAGTTCGCGACGTACATAGCGTTCGCATACAAATGTATCAAGCGTTGCTCGGCCCCATGAAGGAAATCACGTCGCCACGTCGTGCATCGTTACCACCAAGTTCAACATTACAACGCTTAATAAAGCGAGACTTCGCGAGCGACCTGCTGGCTGGCAGTGGCACATTTAAATTCGCCACTTGGCGCGAATGCGAGATGCTGCGCGAAGCGCGTAGCGCTGGTATATTCGCGGCAAGAAGCCGCGAGTCGGCGGTCGGGGGGGGGGGGGGGGAATACTCGGATATTATCGATAATTGGGAGAAATCGACGTGGAAAAATCAGCGCCGTACATCGAGATACATAGAGCAAGTGAAATGTGGGGGGGAAACCGCCGGGATATTTTGCATTTACCTTGCAGATGCAAATATATCTGTTATCTACGTACACGGGTAATTTGCCATGTATCTATGTACGCAAATATGTTGCCCCGACGTATACTTCTACATATATTCCGACAATCGACGTCCTCCGATAACTGTATCTACAACTACGGCGTACGAGCCCGCCGATGCCCATCGGTACACGTGTTCGTCGAGCGCGCGCGCTCGTTGCTTACCGCGCTGAAATATCCTGCTTGAGTATCCTTCGCATTTGGCGGGAATCGCGCTCGCGGGTCCTTACACCCGCGATGAGAGATTACCTCGCGTACGTGTATGGCCGTCGCTCTCGGTGCTCCAAGTCGGCGGCGCCGATAATAATCAGCACGAGCCGCCCGAGCCGGCGAATGAAGTCACGCGTATGCGCGAGCTGTCGAATTAACCGATTAGCCTACAGCACCTGTCATCGTCACCGAATGTCGATGTCACCGGCGCGCCGGGCCGGCGTGTGTTAACAGGTGCCTCCGATTCCTTCCGAATCGTCGAGTAGCGCCACTCGGCCCGAGGCTAGATTTTTATCTCACAAGGAAGAGAGAAGGATCAAGCAGCGCGGCGCTGGCTCACGCTCGAATTCGAGCCGTGATATTTTTGTCGGAAATCGAATTAGACTGCCGCCATTTTGGCGTTCTTGCAAGTAGACGAAACCGAGATTGTTTCTTTTTTCCTCGGCGAAACTTGTCTCACGTAAATACTAATTCGCGCTCATATACGATTTACACCGATGTGCGCATTGCGCTCCTCGCTCCTTCTTTCTCCTCTTCGTCCTTTCCGCCAGACGCCAGTCGATTATCATAAGCGGCTGAAATCTGAAATTTTTACGTGACGGGTATTAATGTCGCCGGCGCAGTGGAGCGCAGGCAGCGCAGGCTGCGCAGGCACCCTCTTCGCGCCTGTTCACGACCACGCGCTCATCTCGAAGTGTGAGAGATACGTGCCGGTGAGACAACTTTTGGTGTCGCGGAGGCGAAAGGCGGGAATGGCGAGAGCGACGGGAACGGCGGGAAAATTGAGCCAACCGTCCCGGCATATCTTGTTGCCGCACCACCATTGCCGGTGTAATACGGTTTTCACCGGCTCTTTCTCGGAGTTACAGCTAGGCAGAATCGTGCCGTAACTGTACACGTACAACGCGTGGATTCCGCCTAGTTCGACTAGTTTGTATGTCGATGTAACGCGTGTTGCCCAACCTTTACAGTTAATTCCGTGCAAATGTTGCCGCAACAGCACCGCCATTCAAATCTTCATTAACGAGCGTATTTTAATCTTCTCGAAAATAAAACGTCGGAAGCACATATTCGCCCACGAGCGAGGGGAATCTTCCTTTTTCGTCCGATCGAAAAATCCACGAGAGAGAGAGAGAGAGAGAGAGAGAGAGAGAGAGAGAAAACGCACGTTTCTCGGCACACCCTGCATAAACATATTTCATCTTAAAGATGGCGTGTTGTTTCCCTGTTTCCTGCGATCCCGATTGGCTGCCTCGAACTCCGTGCGAGTCGTCGCTCGTCTCAACGGTTTCCGCGAGCGACTGTCATCGCGGAGGTTATGTATGTGAGTATTAACGATTTGAATATCATGTTAATAATATACGATAATACGAAGAATGTAAAATTAACGAATAAATAACGTGTAGCGACGCGCTCGCGCTCGGTGCGGGGGTAGCATCTCGCCGGCTGATAATCACGGGCGATCTCGGGAGTATAATAATATATGTGCGTACACAACGAATGAGCGGCCATAATGGTCCGCGACTACGAAAGTAAACGGATCGGGAAACGTCGCGCGATTTTTCCGAGTTGATCGAAACGTGGGGGGTGCGACGGTGCCTCGCATTGTCTCGTGCGCTTGCAATTATCGCGCTGCCGGGATTATCCTGGACAACAGCGGTGTTCTCGAAGGATCTTGAAGGTGAACGTCACTTTTCATCAAAGGGTCACAAAGGGCAATACGCCGTGTCTTGAGTCCCTCCTGTCCTGCGCCCTCTTGATTCCCCGACCGATCCGTCGAATCCGACTAATCAGAAAACTGGCTTTTTGTCTCAGATCTGACGGAGCTTGCGGCTACACGGTGGGTGCGGTTGCAGAAAGGTGTAGTTTCGGTGGATGCGGATGCCATACCGGAGGATCCGGTTCGGGCCGAGCAGGGTCGGTTCGAAGGTAGGTTTATAGGCTTTCTGTATTTTTGTATTTTCACCCTTTGCCGTCGAGAAGCAAAGCATAGTGTTCGAGGAAAAGATCCGTCAACTGCAGCGATCACGAAAATTTAGCAAGCTCGTGTCCGTGTATATTATTTTTATCAAATTGTTGTCAAGAATTCGTGTCTAATTGGCGATGTTATGCCTTTAGTTTCAGATCCGCAGCGGAATACAACCCGATCCCGAGTTCCTGATACTTTGGTGAGTTAAAAACCAAGATTTCAGCTGATGGTGATTCTGGTGATGAATGTTTGGTCTAATTTATAAGAGAGATCTCAGATCAATGCGATTCACTTGGCTTAGTAGATTCTTGCAGCCTGAGAAACAAAAAGGCGGTTAATCTGAAAACAAATTTTAGTAATTTTCGGTGCCAGCCATGTTTTCCGTCATTTCAATAGAAAAGCCGTAGTGCTGTTGAAGTTGGTACCAGTAACATTACAATGGTTAGTATTTACCACAGAAATCGATTTCCCAATCGTTTGTAGTTCACCACGGCGTTCACAATCGGATGTCGGATACTTTTTCTCAGGGTAGGGATTTGCACGTGCATTTGTTTTTGTGCCGTTCACCGAAATATACCGCTCGAAATGATTGAGGGATCGTTTTTCAAAAAACGACTCATATTTACCAGACACCTGAACTGTATACCAAATATTTTTTCTCACAGATCCTTAATATCTTTTCCCTTTTTCATTCGCAGAGCGATCCCTCAATTGTCTCACGCACTGTGCTAGACTGTGCGTGATCAGAGTCGTGCGCTAGAATTGCGTATCGAAGTTGCACCACCGCACGCAGGATTCGCAATCACTGCTACTTTGTTCACGCTAGATCAAACAATCGTCACGATCGTCCATTCGCACAATTTTTTTACACGTAGTGGTTTCGACGACGACGACGACGTTTCGCTCGAAACGCTACATTCAAGGCGTAATATCAATTATTTTCGTTGACGAACGAAATGTTCCGCGAAGCCAAATTTTCATTCTCCAATATCCGCGGAACGAGACATCTTTTACTGTCGCAACCAAGGCTGAAATTGCCGCAACGCTCGGCTCGCGATTTGTTCACGCACGCGGTTCACCACTCGCACGAAAATCCTCAAAGTACCGGGATTGCGTACCTTTCGTTAAGCCGCCAAGTACCGTTGAAATGATCGCGGTCGCGAGTGCAGCGTGGTGAAGTGAAGTGAGCATGTGAAGCGCGATCGACGTGGGACAACGACGTGGACGCCGCGGAGGCTGGATACTGAGAAGGCTAGACGTCGTTGGATATCAACGCGAAATGGTGAGCGTACAATTTGACGAACGCTCACGAAGCGTCACGTTGCATAGCGCGTGTAACGTGTAGATGTAAATCGCATTGATTGCCGTTGAGGAAAGTTACGCGCGAGTATTGTACATTTTGACAGCGCGAAATTACCTGAAACAGGTTTAGGGATCATTGGCGCGTGATAGCGCGCACCTATACACAATGTCTAGCGTTACAAGCGTGTGTTGTAAAAACGCATCTGCGGCGGAGACATCCTTCGCTCTAACGTGAAATCCGGGGTGAATATCCGGGGAGGGTAAAAAGAGGGTGCGAAATCCCGCGGATTAATATCTCCACATTCGTCGAATTTTTCCACGTTACACCGCCAAAGTTTCTTTCGGGATATCAGCCGCCAGCGGTCGAGCGAATTTTTTTTCACAAACTCCAGCCGCTCATACCCGCGAGCGCGCGAATAATTCGTAGCGGGAGCAATTAACGGAGATGAAAATTTGATTTTCTCAAGCGCGTCCCCTCGCGACGCCGCGCCGCGCCGCGCCGCGACGCCGCACCGCGCCGCGCCGGACGGCGGCCTCGTCTTTCATACGCCGAAGAAGTCTGGCCTGGCGATTTAAGAATTCAGGCCGGAAGTGCACGGGAGTCGCAGCTTTCGAAGACGATCGTAAAACGTCCCGCCAGATCTCCGCCGTTTCCTGATCCCCACTGCGGTATCCTTCCTCACCGAGAGTAGCTTCGCCGTGGCACTAACGAGCGCGCGCTCCTAGCTGGCGAGAAAGTCCGACGACGCCTGTGCACGGCAAATCTCGGCGGACTGAATATTGCGGACGGCTTTGTGAGCCAACGCGCGCGAGCGCGATCTCGCGTTGAGAAATATCGAAAATAATTATCGTGCGCTTTGAGAGAGAAAGAGAGAGAGAGAGAGAGAAGAGAAAGAGAGAGGAAGAGAGAGAGAGAGAGAGAGAGCACGATCCTGCACGACTCCGTCGTGCTGCTACGCACAATCGTCCCCTTCTACGACTAGGGATGCAACGATTTCTCGAAGTATCGATAACGATATATTATCGTCATTCAGAACCATCGATAATGATAATATCGATAATTTTGAAAAATATCGATATTTATATTTAAAAATGTATACATATAGGGGGGAGGTATGCGTATAAAGGGTGTACATGAAAAATTTGAAAAGATCTTTTAAAATTTTTTATCTTCATATAATTTATTGTCATATTCATATTAGAAAAGATATAATAAACCGCAGTCGTTTGCCGGAGATCACCGCATACACGGAGCAGGAGATTTATTACGGTTCAACGATTGAGGTGAAAATGATGAAAACGAGCGAATTTACTTAGACATCGATCAATTACATAATATACGTATATTCCAGTGAATTCACTCAATCTTGTAATTCTCATCTCGGTCGTAGAACAGCAATAGGCCCCCAGGGCTGTGACTGAAAAATACGAAATATCAGTAAAATTCATATCGATATATATATATATCGATATGATATATCTTATCGGAGACAAAAAAAACATCGATTAATATTCGACATATACATCTCTCGATGTATCGATACTTCGATCGTTACATCCCTATCTACCGACCCGAAACCTGCGACTTGCAACCTACACGCGACATACGCGTTTGAATAACATCGACGACTCTTGCTCGGGAAATATCATCATCGCGACAATTTAACAGCTACCGTTTGGAAACACAGGCTACAAAGATATTCGACACATTCGGTCCGATACACCACTTTTATTCATGTAAACAGTACGCAACATGACTCGATCACGTGCGGCTTATGGGGGAGTCGGCGTGTTACAAAAAAAGAAAAGGAGGCTTCGATGGGGCTCGTGCAAAATATTGAAACAAAGCTGCAACGCATGCAACGACGACGACGACGACGACGACGACGACGACGACGACACTGCGGCAGGAGGGAAAGTCGCAAAAACAGCCGACGCAGACGGAAGTGCACCGTCTCGTGCCAAATTCTAAATTCCCTTCTACCTCGCGGCCGTTCTCGCGACCGCCGTGCATGCGCACCCCGCGTTCGAATAAGGCGTGCTCGCGTCGCCAGAGCCTCGCCACGGTCTCGTGTCCAGAGAGCAAGGACATTCATTGGCCACAATTCATCCGTCGTGCTGTGGCCAGCCAATCGTAAACTCGTCCGACGTTTTCCTCTGTGTCGAAGTCGTCGTCGTCGTCGTTCGATTGACGCGCGCCTTGTATCGCTCGTTGACGGAGCCACCTATCGCATGCATAGATATCGTCGTATTGCACGTGTAACATCGCGCCGCGACTTGTCTGGCGCGTAGAGCGCGGATTCGATTTGAAGCGGCGGCGGCGGCGACGACGGCGGCGGCGGCGGCGGCGGCGGCGGCGGTGGCGGCGGCGGCGGCGGCGGCGGCTGTTTCCGCGCTCGGCAACGTCCGCGCATTCTCGCGCCGCGTCGCGCCGGCCAGTTAAAAGTCGCCTCCGCGCCGCCCGTACGACTTCGCCGCTCTCGCTCCGTGGCGTCAGCCACGGTCAACAACAACCGGACGCGCGCCGTGCCGTGCGCCAGCCGACGGCGGAATCGTCGACAGGGAATCCCAGCGCGTTCACGAACGCGCGCTCGAGCGCGCGCGCGGGCGCCATCCTGGCGGTTTAAAGCAGATTTCATCCTGATATCATCGTGCATATGTATATTTATATGTCGTATTTTACAATAAAGAGAGATTACCATCGTTGTTGTTATTGCTCTGTCGCGCATCCTTGTCGTAGGCTGTAGGTGGTCCTTTGTGGGCATTATAAGTAGCCCGTAGATTCTTCTCGATGACTCGACTCGAATCGGGTCGAATTTTGTCGAAGCTCCGGATGCTTCGGAAGATGCGAGTGGCAAACGATATTTCATTGAACTTATATTTTACATTGATTCGAGGAAATTCTATTCGAACGATCGTACGACTCGCGCGGAAGCGCTGTCTCAAAGGCCCGCGACGAGATCGCGCTGTTGCGAAATTCAGTAATCCGTTATATACGTCGAGAGAATCTCTCGGCGAATTTCGAGAGAAATGGGGGAAAAAAAGGGGAAAGAGCGAGGCAAATAAATGTAATCTACGTTGGGTATCTATGTTGGCGCGGGGAAAATTTTCCGCGTGGCTTAATAATAACTTAAAGAAGCTCCGCGCGCGTATACGCGCGCGTAGACGTATCGCGGGCTACGCCGAAAATATACATCGGCGTCCCTCGACCCCGCCGCCGACATTTCCACCGTCATCATCGTCGCCGCCGCCACCGCCGCCGTCGCCGCCGCCGTCGCCGTCGCCGTCGCCGTCGCCGACGTCGCCATCACCGTCGCCAGCGAAGAGAAACCGAGCTCAGCATTACGCGCAGCTCGGAGTCGCCGCGGCGTACGTGTGGCACGCTCCTCTCGGTCTCTCGCGAGGCCTCGAGCCGCGCGGCGCTCTGCCTCGCGGCCGCATACGGAATGACGCGCAAAATTCGCGGAATTGGCCGACCGGGGGAGGTCAGCCGAGCGTCGAACGACGGCGCACGTCCCTCGGCGTCCTTTCGCCGTCGCGGCGTCCCGATGACGCGCCCCTTTTACCCGATAGGGAATAAAAATGTTCGCGGTGAATTTTCTTAGGCTGCACGCCGTATAGAGCGTGGCTGCTCGCGCGCTGTCTGCCCGCACCCGCCGCCCTGCCGCCGCCGTGGCATCGCCGCTGCGCCATCGCTGCTGCCTGGCTGGCTCGGCTACGCGAGCGAGCGAGCGATCGGAGCGAGAGCCGAGACCTCTCTCAGCGCTCTTACGCTGCGCGCCGTATACAGCCAGCCAGTCAGTGGCGAGTTCCGAACCTAGTGGCGTTAGGCCGACTCCCTCGTGCTCGGGGGCCCCCGAGTACGAGAGACCGGAGGCTCCCCGGTGAAGGCTGCCGCGCGCTCTCGACGCGCGCCGAGCCTCCGTGACTCTCCTACGTCTTGCCTTTAAGGCTGCATGAAAATTTACTCACGGACGCGCTCGCGTACTTTGCTCTCCCCGTGAGTTCCCTTTTTCCGCTCTCTCTCTCTCTCTCTCTCTCTCTCTCTCTCTCTCTCTCTCTCTCTCTCTCTCTCTCTCTCTATCTCTCTTGTTCTTTGCTCCTCTCTCTCTCTCACTCTCGTTCGATTCTCGTTCTCACTTTTTCTCGCAACGCGACACGCGAGCACGTTGATTTTTAGCGGAATGAATATTTTAAAGCTCACAATAGCTAATAAAGTGGATTTTCTCCTTTCGAGCGAATTAACGCAGCTCTCGTGCCGGTCCCTTTGCCCCGAGTAAGCCGATATTACTTTCTACACGACGTTACAGATGGTTGTTATCGACGAGTTACGTACGAAAGGAATTTGGAATGTATATTCCTCGAGGAGGCTTGCGCGCAATCGAGCGAACGGTCTCTCTCTCTCTCTCTCTCTCGCTCTCTCTCTCTCTCTCTCTCTCTCTCTCTCTCTCTCTCGCTCTCTCTCTCTCTCTGTTCGAGAAATCTTTTTTCTTTTTGGGATTTTAGGTTGAAACGGACGCGCGCGCGCGCGCGCGCGCGAGAGAGAGAGGGAGAGAGAGAGAGAGAGAGAGAAACGTTGAGCGCCGGGAAACGTTTCCGTCGGCCGCGCGACTCTTCGTAAGTGAACGCGCGCGCGATTACCTTGCTCGCCGCAAGGTCCTGGCGTCGTGCGGTGGCGCGATTGACCGTGCTATCTCGGTCGTCTCGTAAGATATTAAGCAGAGTCGCGCGACGAGCGTTCGGGATCGGTGTGCGATCTGCGCGCGGACAGCGCAGTCATTTTGAGTTTCCGCCGAGTGTCGCTGAAATATTTCAGCGGCAGTCGCCGATCCGTTCTCCGATAACTTTCATCGACCGGCCGCGCTATCACGGACTTTCTCGCGCAGAGCGATTTTTCTCGATCGAGAGGCGCGAACGTTCCTGCGAGAGGAAGAGGAGGAGGAGGAGGAGGAGGAGGAGGAGGAGGAGGAGAAGGAGGAGGAGGAGAGGGGGAGGAGGATACTCACTTGATGCGAGTTTCCACGAGGGAATCCGCTTCTTTTCTCGCCTTACATCGCCTTTTTGTCGCCTTCTTTCTTGCCCACCGCCTTCCTCCCTAATGTTAATAAGCGCTACTAATCATTTGACATAAAAGCATTGTTTATATCTGAAAAGCCGCGTACTTCGACAATGGATTTGCCTTCGCGTACGATCAGAATAGTGACATACACAGTCCTGCAGTATTAAATCCGATATTAATTATGTAATTAATTTACGCGCCGTGAATGAAACGTACCCTTCTGTTTACATGAGATCCATCAGCGCGTTCGAACGCTAACAATATGGCATTATGCGCCCGATGAATGATCGACTTTTTTTTTTTAAATGTCATGTTGAGAGTAAAAGCGTAAACATATGCTATTGTGAGACTATTGCAACGATCGTCACCTCGCAAGCTCGTTTTCCCTTTCAACGAGTGCACGGTCGAGGTAATGTTGCAAATGATAAAAAATCTGGCCGTTTGTCCGGACGAAAATTTTTCAGATAAATCGCACGTCGCGTCTGAATTTCTGTCTGTCCTGACGAAATCTGACGAGTAAAGCATACGTCGTACGCGAAGCACCGGGCGTACCGGCGCGTCGCTACGCCACTGACTGGTCGTGTCGGAGTGCAGGTGGGCCGAGCGCGCACGGAAACAGCCGAGCGCGCATTCGGGGGAAAACGGAGCGGCGGTACTCGGCGAGGACTGTTGTCAGAGTATTCAGTAATGCTTTGCATGGCCAGCTAGCTACTAGTGTGTGTATCGATGACAGTCACGTCATCCGCTCGGAGTGCTCGTGCGATGTTACTCGGGGAGCTAACCGGGGTACATACCGGCGGCCGATACTTACGTCGCGCAGTGCATTCTTCGTGAGACTTGTGAGGAGAACGAAAAGAACGAGAAAAAAACAGCGTTAACGGACACGTAGTCGGGGAAGACAGACAGTGAGTGAGAAAGACAGTGTTGCGAGAGGCAGCGCGTGGAAGGCAGGCGAAAGACAAGAGGCACGTCGGCGGACAGAACTTACTGACTCGTGCCGTCGCCGGAGGTAGCGTGGTGCTTCAGTTATCACGTTCAGTTATCCGCAGTTTTGTTTCTTTCGATTTCTTTTCCTCTTAATTTTCATCCCGTCACTTCGCTCTCACGAACCGCTTCAGTCACGCGGAGGGCGAAGAGAAACGGATCGTCGCGCGGCAGCACCGTGTGCGGCAGTGCAGCAGCAGCGTACCAAGATGCTGTCATCAGTGTCAGCGAAATAATAATGTGGTGCGACGTCAGTCAGGTGAGTTTCGCGCGCGATACCGCGCACACTGTTCTCTCTCTCTCTCTCTCTCTCTCTCTCTCTCTCTCTCTCTCTCTCTCTCTCTCTCTCTCTCTCTCTCTGTCTATCATCCATCTCTCTCTCGCTCTCTCTCTCTCTCTCTCTCTCTCTCTGTCTCTCTCTCTCTCTCTCTGTCTCTCTCTCTCTCTCTCTCTCTCTCTCTCTGCCTGTCTCTCTCTCTCTCCCCCTCTCCCTCTCCCTCTCCCTCTCTCCCTCTGTTACTCTTACACGCTCACCCGGCCACCGCCGTCCTTTTTCTGACAACCCCCTACCCCTCTTTGCGCGCGCCCGCGCTCCCCCGGTGTGCGTTCCCTTCCTTCAGCGTGTATAACACGCGTGCCGCGTTTCCGCGTTTCGTGCCGGTCGAGGAGAGCGGTTACGTGAGCGTGCGCTGCTCGGCTCGCGTTGAGGATCGCGAAAGAGCGACTTCGCTCGCGCGAACGACGACTTGAGGCGACTCGAGTGTTTTGCCGTTGGGACTTTAGTCTCTCGATAACGACGCCGACGTTGCGCGGCACGTACGGTACGGTTACATTCGATCGACGCGCAGGCATTTTACGATACACACGAGCACCTTGCGTTTCGATACCAAAAAAGTCAGCAGACAGAGAGCGTTCTCTCTCTCTCTCTCTCTCTCTCTCTCTCTCTCTCTCTCTCTGTTTCTTTCCTTCTCTCTCTCTCGCTCTCTCCCTCTCAATCAATCGTCGTATGCTCGTGAGGGAACGTTCAGCCTCTCTATCGTACGTCGAGCAACCGCGCCCGACTACGAGACCTCTCTCAGTCGCAAGCCTTCTCTCTCTCTCTCTCTCTCTCTCTCTCTCTCTCTCTTTCTCTCTCTCTCTCTCTCTCTCTCTCTCTCTCGGTCTTAAAGCAAAAAAAGAAAAAGAAGAAGCGAGACTCTCGGCAGCCACTTCTCCACGGCGCATCGCGCTTACATCGTTCTCGAAAATCGATCGACGTTACTGCACTTGTTCGCTCGCTCGCTCGCTCGCTCATACTCGCTTCAGACTCTCCGTGCGAGAAACGCCCGTGAAAATTTTTTTCAACGGACGCGAGCCGCGAGCACGCGTAGGACGACTAAGTGTCAGATTTGACGCGTGGTAACCTCGTGTTCGGTAGTTTGAATTCGAAGCGATCCCGCGTTTCCTTGGACCTGTGCGGGGAGAGGGTGGTATGGGCGGTAGGAGGGCGGTCGCGGTCGCGCGGGGCGAAAGAGGATGACGAGGCGAAGCTCGAGGGGAACGACGAGGTGGCTTGCGTACTGTGTGGGCTGTGGAGCAGCGGGGCGCGCGGCAGAGAGGAGGGGAAACGAGCGACAGCGGCAGCGCTTGACGGCGCGGTGGGGAATGGGATGAGAAGGGTGCAAAGAGGGGGAGACGGGCTAACAGCAGGGATAGGGGGTGGCGGGTCGGAGCGGGGAATGGCGCGGCAGGAGGGGGGATCGCTCGAGGCTGCTGGCTGCCTCTTCTTCGCTTGGCCAGCGCCGCGAGGAAATCTAGCGTCGGCTCAGAGACGCTAGGGTGGGGGTACGGTTATAACCAACCATCAAGGGGCAGCGTCGTCATGGTTACCACGACGACAACAACCCGATCTGGTCTAGAGGGGTGTTTTTAAAGACATATTCGCTTTTGCCGCGTCTCTCGCTCTCCCGTTCTCTCTCTCTCTCTCTCTCTCTCTCTCTCTCTCTCTCTCTCTCGCTCCCCCCCTCTCTCTCTCTCGAAGTTCTCCACTAACTCTCTCCTCTCTTACTCTCTTTTTCTCTCTGTTTCTCTCTCTCTCTCTCTCTCTCTATCTCTATCTTTCTTTCTTTCTCTTTTGCCCTCGTCCTTTTTTCCCTTTTCCTCTTCGCTTTCCCGTTTCCTAGCGATTGTTTTTCGTCACGAGGTCTTTGAGCGACGCGAAATGTTTTGCGACAAAATCGAAGGAGAGGGGCGCGATATCATCGCGAGAGTCGTAATCCACCGAGAGGAGGCGCTAGAGTTGTAATTTTACGCCACTGTCATGTAAATTGTTTCTTGATATATTTTTCAACGGGAAAATAATGCAGTCATCGTTTGGTCTCGAATTTTTCTCTTTTCCTAACAAAAAACAATCGCCAGCGATACCACAGAGAATACCCAACTTATTAAGATTTTATTTATTTATTTATTTATTTAACGGGAACAAATTCCGTTTTGCAAAACAATAGATAAAGTGTGAATATACACAAAAATACACGTAAGCAAGGTAGCTGCAAGAAATGTGAAGAGACCGAAACGCATGTAAATAAAAATTGTATACAGCAGAGAGTGTGGTGGTACCGATAACACATGAGTCATATAAAACAATACATACAGCAATCAGTTTACCGTATAGTAATTCATGCAGGCATACGATTACGTAGTACACTTACATAGTACAGCGCCCCAGTAAAAATAAAAGAGGAAGAAGATTTTTGGATAGATAGAAATAAAATACCCTACATGTTTAACGCAAAGCGCAACGATCAAAATAGATTATTTTATGATTTAAATGCAGTACGGGAGAGCTTAAAAAATATATATAAATGGGGTGCATACTTATATTTTGACATTATAATATATTAATATATTTTATTATTATAATATTATAATATATTTAAAAAAATATATAAGCATCCACCCCACTTATATGGGGTGTCTGGATTTAAGTGCAAACAAACCGAAAAGGTTCAATAAACAGGCTCGAAAATCAACCATTAGAGCGAGTTATACTAATTTAAACTTGCGAACACATAACCCAACATAATTGTAACTAAATTAGCATCCAACTCATGTAAAGTTATAAGAACTGTTCAAAGGGACTATCTCTGGTAGCAATATATGCTTCAGCACGCTTTCTCAGAAATTATCAAATTTGATAAAAAATAATAGGAGGATTCTGTAGAAGTATCAGACGAATTTACAATGTGCTGCTATAGTTCATCAATACTTTGGATAAATCCTGCAGCGTAAACAGATTTACTTAATCAAGAGAATAATTGAAACAAACAAATGGAAATATTTCATTTGAGTGAATAATCTTTCTAAGGATATACTTCGTCTGCAATATACAGCTCTCGATAAAAAGGCGCCTTAAACAAAAAAATGTTCCAGACGAAGCTTGTTTGTTTTTACAAAAAGCGTTTTTCTTTTTAGTTGATATTATTATCAACTTGCGGTTTAGATAAAAAATTGGTAATATCAGCATTGTTTGTCTCAAAAATCTTTTAACTTTTATGTGAAACATTTTTTTTTTTATTACAGCCATAGTTTCAAAGATATTGGACTATATTAATTAAAATGAGACATTAAAGTGAAATTATATATATACAATTTTAATTCGTCTACCGTCTTAAAATAAGAAAATATAAACAAGTAGATGAAGATAAGAAAATATTTTAATTTAAAGATACAAAAACATGTGAGAACAAAAGTGAGGGCAATAATATTGACGGTACGCGTATAAATAAAATTAATAATCGTTACAAAATACAAATTATATTATTAAGACAAACATGCGTTTCGGTCACGGGATGAGATCCTTTTGAATGATATTAAAAATATGTTAGCTCGGCAAGATACGGAGCTTCCGTGGTCGCCGCTAGGTGGTGTCTGCTCTCGCAGAGAAATTCGCTTCCCCACGGGGACGTAATTAAGCACATAGGAATATTCCAAGATAAACTGACACTAGCACATTATCTTTTTGTCTTGGAATTATATGTTAACTGAAATAAATATTCTATTAATGATAAATGAAGGGATTTCAGCTCGATTTGAAAATCATTTTTAACTCAAACAAGCTGTGTTTTGTTTTTAACATTGCTTTTTAGCCTCCAAATTTGATTTATTCGCCCGTGGTAAATAATTTCGTCGCAAGTCAGTAACAAAAATTTTATTATTAACTTTGTCACTTGGACTTCAGATGTCACAAGAAATGTTTACTGTCACGTTTCATATATCGATTATGACTATTGTTTTATTACGGTGACTAGCTAGTAGGTCCTGTGTGAAATTTCATCGTAATGTGCGTGAAGGCAACGCTCGCTTTTGATGATTTCAGACAAAGCATCTAAAGCGAGTTGTGCAAACTCGCTTTAAAGTATATTCAGACGACACCGATCATCCAGGTCGAACCGTTGAATGCAATAGAGGATCATTCGTCTCTCGAGTGATCTCTTAAACAAGATACATAAATAACATTTCGTCCCAAGCAATTCGTTGGATCGTTAAAAAACTATTTCTTCGCATCATAGGCGTTAATTTTGCATGACTCTGCAAGAAATAGATGGATCAGGAGGAGTTGGTAGGAATTATATAAAAATCGTTAGTAACCTAGACGATCTTCCGATACGTTTGTCGCGTGATTATCCAAAGCAAATACACAATATGTCTCTTCGATATACCGATCTTCTCTCATCGATCTGAAAATTTCGATCGAGTGACGACTCGACTCGAACGAGACTGAACTAAGAATCGATAAAGCATCGATTACTCGTCGATTCTCGTCATCGGCCAAAGAAAAGCCCGCAGTTGCGACTTGTCCGCTGCGATTCTAATCTTGCGTGTAACGGGCATAAAATTGGTGTACGAATGTAAGCGCGGGCGCGTCTACCACAATTCGGCTGACGATAAATCAGCGTGCGCAGCGTCTAGGGGATGAAAGTGGGTGGCGCGGGGAGAATGAGGAGGGAGGGAGGGAGGGAGCGTTTTTCGGCGCTTCCGACGGTCGGTGTGCCATCGGTGGCCCGATGACCGACAAAACCAGCAGTTTTTCCACGTGGTTTCGCGTCGTACACGACAAAAGGTTTTGTCAGCGTGCGCGCGTCGCCGGCGCATCGTTGAACTTGAACGGAAAAATTCGTACGCGCACTTTGACCCTTAATCCCGCGCTAAAAATCGGGATAAATTCGAGAGAAATAAACAAATCGATAACTCGCGAGGTCGAACGGGCATTATTATTTT